TCCTTCTAAAAACATCAAAATGTTACAATGATGTTGGAGAGTGGAGGCGACAGGGCAATTTCAACAATTCAGTCTAATTAACTCTCCCACTAGCCTCAGCAATATAAATATCAATACCATATTGGTTCAGTGGTGTCTTGCAGCGATTGATCCAGGCTTTAGAAGATCAAAAGTCAGTCTAATTAACTCTGAAAAGAGATTCTAAATAAAGGGGGAAGGGGATGTATGAGATGACTATCGACACTAAGACAAAGAATGAGAGCAATAAAACAATGGTATCAATATTAATGGTCGTATTTCGGAGAATTAGTCGTTTAGCTAAAAAGAATGCGTCACAAGAGATCGTTATACGTACAAGTGATCGATGTAGCTAAAAGAATTTCGTTATAAATTTTTATTAAAGATATACGGTTGACTGTTATTTAAGTTGATAATATTTAGCAAAATATCAGGTTGTTGATTAACCAAAAAATCTTCATAAAGAGAAACGGCTTTTCGTCATTAGAAAATTTATGCCGCAATCGAGCTCAATTAGAGATCGGATTTTTATTTTGGATCAAAAGATAGAAGAAATCATATCGTATAAGAGATCATAAGGCAAAGTGGATATCTGGACAAGCGACTAGGTAGAACAAGTAATCAAGACCAGGATGCAATCGTTAATCGTTGACAAATTATCGCCAATTGCTTATCAAAACTTTAGTATAGGATACAAAATCGATGATCTTAGAAACAAGAATTCGTGAAAACAATCGTTAATCGCAGATCAAGCATCGCCTATCGTTGACCGAGATAAAGCACTTATCATTAGTTAAAAGAGAAGAACGTTAGAAACACAAAAGATTAAAATAATTTAACAGGAGAAAAGATGGGGTATAGATAATCGTTGACTAGCAATCGTGAATCGTTTAAAAGCATGCAATCAATACCAGACGAAGGCAAGAAACAGAATCTACCGGTGAGAAGAAGTAATCGAATACATACCACGACTATTGGTCTTTCGCAGAATGTGGGGGCTAATCTAAGTGGAAGGGTGTTGTAATATTCAAATTAGTTAAAGAAAAATGAATAAAAAAAAGATTTATTATTCAGATTAAATAAAGTTCAAGATTATTTCAGTTTGTCTTTTATGTAAATTAATATGATAGAAAAGTATATATAATCGGAAATATTTTACTTAAAAAAAGAGAAGAGGATGATGTTACGAACTTAATTTTTTTATTTTAATTTTTATTATTTTAATTTTTATTATTTTAATTTTTATTATTTTAATTTTTTTTAATTAATTTAGTTTGATTATATTTTTAACTTATGATTTAATAAAGATTTAGTATCATGTTATTTTAACCTTTCTTATTTGACAACGATTTTAATCTCTCAATCCTTCTAAAAACATCAAAATGTTACAGTATTAAGTTAAGTTTTGAGTTGCTTGGATTTGTGAGGCTAAGTTTCATGTAGATCTTATATTTGTTAAGCTTAACAATAAGTTTTGACTTTATGTAGTTAGCTTTAAATTGTTTTATTTTTTATGTGATTATAATTTTGAGTTGCTTAGCATTTTATCAAATTACTAAAAAAGCCCTTTTGCTACGCTATTTTGTGTAGCTTTGAGCGCTTAGTTACCTAAGCTAAGTTTCGAGTAGTGTCATTGTGGGTTTATTTTTTGAGTTATTTATTATTTTATTACTTTGCTAAGATTTACTTCATTATATATTATACACCTGACTTTGAGTATTTGACAATATGCGTCGTATTCTGATGTTATTTGCTTTAAGTTGTTCAGTAGTGGAAGAATAGTTCTAACATTTAAAATTCTAAACTTTAATCCTCAGGAAGCAATTTTTTATTCCTTTGTCTGGTCTACCTTAACCTATAAGTTAAAGCCAAGTTATAATGAAACTTTAAGTTAAAACCCTTTATCAGAATGATTTCTAATTTAAAGCCAAATTTTTACTCATTTAAAATTGTATTATTATATATATATTATTTTAGAATTCTTTTTTCATATTCTATTTCTTCCTTAAAATCCATCTCACACTTTCACGCGGTGGGGAGTGAACAGCATAGCTGACGGGAGCTCTGGTATTTATTAAATGTGAATATTAAATGGTATATTTACAAGATGCAAAAGTTTCGTGGAAAAGTTCGAAATTAATTGATTTTTTAAAAATATTTGTCATTTCAGAAATCCTAACAAGGACAGAAAAAACCGAGATGTTATGACTTAACCTAAGCATCTGGCAGCTCTAATTTAACATCTGTTCCTAGTTATATTTAAATTAATAATTATTATGGATTAATATTTAATTCCGATAATAAGATCAAATTCCTCCAGGTTCATTTTACCTAGTACAAAATTTTCCTTAAAAATATTTAAATAATAATAAAATTTCTTATAATATAATTATAATTTATTAATATTAAATTAATCTTTTTTTAAAAAAAATTTAAGTTTTCAATTACAAATATTCAAAATGTTAGAAAAATATACTAAATTTTATTTAGTAAAAAATAAATTAATATTAATAATTAGTGCTGTAAACGTTACTACAAAAAAGAAACGTGTTACCGTTACTCGTTACATCTGAAAAATGGAACGCGTTACCGTTATTCGTTACCATTTTACAAAAGGAACGCGCGTTACCGACTTCTCAAAAAAGTAACGGGCTACTCGTTACTTAAAAAAATTAAATGTTATATATAATGCAAAATTTTTTTTATTTTTTTCGGACAATATATAATAAAATAAAACTATACAAAAAGAACATATAAATAATATCTTTTATAATAAAATTTTCATATATAATTATAATATGAATAAAATTATACAAAAATAAAATATTATAAGATAACATCTTTATGTAGCAATGTTTTATTTATTTTTAACAACAATTGATTTTCTAAATTTTGATCAGATAAACATGAGCGCTTACTACTCAACACAGCTTTCGCCGTGGTAAACACACGTTCAATTGGCATAGATAGTGTTATTAAACGGCTCGTTTTGAGCTGATTTTTTCAAACGGCTAAATCAATATTTTAGCCAGAAAAATGTTGCCTAAGCCTCGAGATTTCGATAATATATGTTTAGACCTTTGTTCCTTCTGTAAGCAAAATCTTCAGGCTTACGTAATATTTTTCTGGGTGAAATATTGAGTTAGCTGTTTTTAAAAATCGGCTCAATATTCTAGTGTGTGTGTTGAATAAAGGAATCAAGCCTGTTCTTTCTTTATCAAATTGAGGCCAGGGAAGGGTTAAATCTTCTTCATCTACTATGGACCTAATATTTTTTTAAAATAAAATATAAATTAATTAATAATAGCATTATATTTACTCTGAATTTTGATTGAATATTAAATTCGGCTGATAATTTAACAACGAAAATTTAGATAAAAAAGTTGGAAGTGGTTGATATGAATTAAAACTCGGTTTAAATTATTAATATTAAGAATTAAAAAATAAAAATAAATAAAAGTAATTTTATAATACAATAAAATATGTTTTTCTTTTTATTGATATTTTTTAAGAAAATATATAAAGTAACGAGTAAAGTGACGTTTTGCGTTACCGTTACTCAGAAATAGAAACGCGTTACCGTTATTCGTTACCTTTAGATGAAGATAACGAAGGGCGTTCCTTTTCTTCAAAAAAATAACGTTGTTAGTAACGACGTTACTTTTTTGACGTTACCTCACAGCACTAATAATAATAATAAAATTAAAAAATGTAAAATTATATTAACTAAAATATTATAAAAACAGGCAGGGGTGATTAAAAGGATATGTTGTCAGACATAGAGACTAGGATGAAGATAAAATTATATCTACATATCCTCGAGAGATATTTTTCTTAGTTATAAATTTTCTTTAAGATCTCTAATGATTATTAGCTTTTACCTAAAGTTATTAAAAATATAATCATCGCCGAAGTTCCCTAATGTGGTAGCATTAAAGGGTAAAGAAACGGTTTCAGGTGATATTTGTTAAGTTTAGATTATACGAGTTCTTTAGCTTAGTTGGCAGAATGTCTAATTTTGCTGCCTAAATTTTTTAAAACCTGAATATTATTTGGGAAATATGGCCGAAGAAAATTGTTAGGATCTTTATATTATTTTTTCGTTTTTAGTTTGGGGTCGATATAGTCTTGACTTAAGACTAAGAATTTACTACCAAAAAGATAATTTTTCCTTTCCTTTTGAATTCCAAAAAATATTATAGTAACTTCTTTTTTTAAAATTCATATACATAGATCTACTTTATAAGAAAACATTATTTACAGGTACAAATTATAAAACAATTATCTAATATTAGGTATAAACTAATTTTATTTAATGGGTATTTCCAAAAGGTTCGAAACTTAAAGATATTAAAAGTTGATTTACAATTTTAAAGATAATAAAACTAGTGTTGTTAAACGGCTCGTTTTGAGCCGATTTCTAAGGCTAACTCAATATTTTAGCCAGAAAAATATATTTTAGGCCCCTGAGATTTTGATACTATATGTCTAGACCTTTGTTCCTTCTATGAACAAAATCTTTAGGCTTAATAATTTTTCTAGATAAAATATTGAGTTAGCCGTTTTTAAAAATCGGCTTAAAACGAACCGCTTAACAACACTAAATAAAACTGGGCCAATAAATTGGTGTTAAATATTTTAATGCGCATTAGGGCGGACCTGCCCGTAAAACCGGAAAAATTTACAAGGCGATCCAGCAACTTTGCTCGTAGACGACTGAAATATTTGGACATCTATAAGCGAAATCTAGAAGTTTATGCAATATTATTTTGGCAATAACCTGAATCTGAAACATCACTAAACACATTCATTGCTGGCGTTTTATAAAAAAAACAACAGGCGACTCAATTCCTAAGCATTTATAAATATTTGCCTTCATAGTTTGTTTTTTCTCCCTGAAAAAAGTTTCGTATACCCTAATAGTAAATTTTATTATATAATAATTTTTAATATAAGATTTTTAATATCTACAAATTGTTGATTTCTATTAATTAATATTTTGAATAAACAATATCCCCATCATTAATATATTCATTTTATTTTAATAACATATTAGAAAATTTGAAAATAAATTCGTGGGATATATTTTTTAATTATGATATTTTGCATTTCGATTCGCAAGATTTGGGACAATACATGAGTTGAGCTCCTGAACATTCCTCATTCTCAACAACCAATTTACAGATTTCAGGGTGATCCAAGCATTTAAACTTTTTATCATCTACTGGGTCTTTATATATTTTTGGTATTTTTAGTAAGTGTAATATAATAGTCAAAAAATAATTGATTAATTTCTTATAAAATATACAGGGTCTCCCATCCAAAAAAAAAAGAAGTCCCAATCAAAAATAGGAAAAGTTTCAATCATAAAAGAAAAGGTCCGATCAAAAAAGGAAAAGTGTCAAAAAAACTGGAAAAGGTCCAATCAAAAAAGGAAAGTCACTCAAAAAAGTACACTTCCCCAAAAGGAAAGGAAAATTTCCATTCAAAAAAGGAAAATCAATATATATTTATTCTTACTATATCTTTTATCAATTTATTTTTCTTCTTTCTTTTGTCTTTTTAAAATAATTTATAAATTTTCCGTTATTTTTCTTCACATCTCTACTCCATATTTTTACCAATCTTTACTTTTATTTTGACTTTTCATGATTTTTTCTCCTTATATTGTAATCTTTTAAATACATTTCTAACCTTGTCAATCTCTTTAAGTCATTTTTAATCTTGATTTTTTTTCATTTTTGATAATTCTTTTTAGGAATTATATTTAATTTTCACTAAATTTTTGGCAGACAATTTTTTTATAATAGAATTTTTTACATATCAGATTATTTAATTGCAATTTCTAAATTTAATTAATTGTTTGATTATAAGGTACCTTTTTAAAATTAAATAAGTTTGAACTGTAATACCAAACGATATGTAAATTAATAAAATATAATCATTTTTAAATTCTTCTTTTTTAAATTTTAATATTTATGCAAGAAGTGATGCAATATTTTTGATACTATCTTTTTTTAACGCGTCAATTATTAGAGCTTTTGTTTCACTATTAATGTTTTTCCCCTTGTTTTTACCATATCTTCATAATTTTATTTCTTAAAACAAAAAAATTTCTTTTTAAGACATAACTCAACAAATGGAAGGAATGACAAAAAAGACTAAAATTCATTAAATTATAACATTTACCTCATTTTTACGTTTAACGATTCATAAATTAAAGAATATAATCTTAAATATAACTTTATTTAAAAGTAAAAATGCATCTTGTCTAAATATTTAAATTTTAAAAATGAGAATTTAAAAATGATTTTATTTTATTAATTTACATGTTTAGTATTTCAGTTCTAACTTATTTAATTTTAAAAAGGTACATTATAACCAAACTATTAATTTAATTTAGCAATTGTAATTAAATAATTTAATATGCAAAAAATTGTCTGCCAAAAATTTAATAAAAATTAAAAACTAAAAAAAACTATCAAATGAGAAGAAAAAAATTGAGAAAATGTCAAAGAAATAAAAATTAAAAATGACTTCAAGAAATTGGAAAGGTTATAAATGATGTAAAAGATACAATATAAGGAGATTTAATCATAAAAAGAATATTGTATGTATGATGAAAAAATGTAAAGAATTGTTAAAAAAAATGGAGCAGAGAGATGAAGAAAAATAACGGGAAATTTATAAATTATTTTTAAAAAGACAAAAGAATTATCAAAAATGACTAGAAAAATAAATTGAAAAAAGATTAAAGTAAAAAATCGCAAAAAGTTAAAAATAAAATAAAAAGGAATAACAAAAATAAATAAAAATTTTAAAAAAATTGACAAGAAAAAAAATTTAAAAAATTGCATTTTCCTTTTTTGATTGACACTTTTCTTTTTTTGATTGAACCTTTTCCTTTTTTGTTTGACACTTTTCCTTTTTTGATCGGACTATTTACTAAACCTTTAAGACTTTTCCTTTTTTTGATTGACACTTTTCCTTTTATGATTTTCCTTTTAGAATAAGAAACCGTGTGGCTTATTTTCTTATTTTTTGTTTAACAAATCATATTTTAAATTTTTTTACCATATTTGCAAACAGAATTACAAGATCTTTTACAATATTTTCCGATGGCTGGACACAAACCCCCACGGGTCACCTGGAAGCAAGTGTTAGGATCATATATATCCACGCATTCAACTTTATCCTGATTTTTCGGATCGGTATTAGTATAATCCTTGGCTTAATTTTATTTTATTTAAAAAAAAAATTTAATGTATCTGAAATTAATTCTTTTTAATTCAAGACAAGTTTTTGTTTTACACCAATGGGCAGAGTTGGGCAGTACCGCGAATACTTGTATCTAAGATACAAGATACAAGATCCTTTTGTATCTTGTACTCAGTATCTTATTGACATTTTTAATAAGATACTAGTATCTGTATCTAAGATCCTTGATTTTGAAAAGAATCTTGTATCTTTTTCATTTTCTTTAAAAAGATACAGATACAGATACATATTTTTTTTAATATTCATGTTTAGAACATTTACATATCACACACAATGTAACTTTATTTTCTGGAAATCTTGTATTATTTTTTTTATTTTTTGCTATATTTTAAATATATTGATAACCAAAATTAGTTGGAAATTTTACAGATCACAAAGATAGATATATTAAAAATAACAACACCAAAAATAAGAAAAGGATATATTTTATATGAAATATTTTTTAATTTGTAGAATGTTTAACATATATAGTAGTGAAGATGAAATTATAGAGATAGGTACTCCTGAATCAAATCCGAATCTGAAAATTCTAGATGGAAAATTTTATAAAGTAATTCATGTGAAAAAGGACAAGGTACAAGCCGAATGTCAAAATTGCACAAGTAAAAAAGTTATAAAAGGTTGAACAAACTCCTCTACAAACTTTGTTAAACATATTAAAGTATAGTATACATTTTTATTTTATAATTATTAACATAATATTACCTATACATAAGTCCCTCTTAGATAATTGTTATTAAAAATTTTTATAGAAGATGGATGGTTGATTATCAAATTAAAATCATTTTTGGATATATACCGATACCACTTTCTAGAGGTCGATTTGATCCGATATTCTCGATATTAAATTTATATCGGCCGATTACCGATCCGATATCATATATAATTTTGTATTCTGTAAAGTTACCAATGGTTTTAATTTTTAATATACTTTTTATTAGTATAACATCTATAATTTAACTATACCATAACTTATGTCATTTAAATATATTATAATGATCAGTTATAGTTTATATTCAATTCGATTGCAATTCTAAAAGTATATAAAATATTTTTATTGTTAAATCACTTTTATATAATAAGTAACAACATTAATCTATATACATATTAAGTAATAAACAATTATATTATGAAATTGAAATAAATATTTAAAATAATATTTAACATTAATATAGCGAAGATTTCTTTTTAGAAATACCAATATTTCCAATTTATCAGATGTCAGCTTGCGGCGATAGTAACTGTCAATATCACCAGCTTCACTAAAAACAGATTCTGAAGAGATTATTGCACACTTTTATAAACAGAATGCGCAAAAAAATAACAATATGAATGTTTATTAATTATTTGTTATTATTAAAAAAATATACATAAAAATGGATTTCGATTTTATTTATAAAAATAAACAATTTCAGATATAACTATTTTTTTTAATTTTATAACATTTTAATTTTGTTCGGATCAAATTTTATAATATTGACCGATAACCGATATTTTATGGGTAAAATATGGGCCCGATGCGATCCGATAAAAAATATCGACACATCCCTAATATATTTTATATTTAATTATTTTAGAAAGTTCTAATTAAAGGAAATATTTAAGCTACAATTGATATATAATATTAGATAATTTTAAAAGGCTCTTAATAAAATAATTATAATAAGGTAGAATTTAACTTTATTAGTTACTTTTATTTATTTATGATATAAGTAAAATTACATTACAGTATTTATTTACAAAATTTAATCAATTTAAAATGCATTAAAGAAAATTGCTATGTAATTAACAATTAAATATAATGTTGTACATTATTTTCATATTTTTTATATATAATTAATGATTTTGCAAGAAATATATAAAAAAAATTTGAAAAGAGATTTAAATGATATTTATATATATATGATATTACAAATGCAAGAATTAATAAGTCAAATTAGAAAATATATCTAATTAAATACATAAATATCACAAACAAGTAATGATAAATACTTATCAAAGATAATGAATAAAATAAAACTAGTATATTTTTTTTAGAGATGCCATTTAGCCATATACTCCGAATATAATCTATATTTAAAACAACAGAAAATAACCTGCAAATTCTAATTAACTATTTGATTTAATTTTTTTCCTTATTTGCACATTTTCAACTACAATTAAATACTACTCTCCCTTCCCTGTTTATACTATTAATGCGCAAAAATTAATATTAAAATCTCTGGTTATTATAATTTTTTTTTGTGAATACGAATGATTTTATTAAATTTCTTTTTACATAAAACCTAGTCATCAATAAATATTTTATTAATTATTGCAAATATTCATTTTTATATGTGTATGCTATGTTCTTCACAAATAAATAATAAAAACTGTATTTTATACACTATTCAAATTTAATTGGTAATGATAATTTAAAAGTATCTTGTATTTAAGATACTCTAATTTAGTAAAAGATACAAGTATCTTTTATCTTGTATCTTTTTGATAATTTGAAAAAGATACTAGTATCTGTATCTAAGATTCATTTTTTTATAAAGAATCTGTATCTGTATCTAGATTCTTTTTCCAGAGGACCTGCCCAACTCTGCCAATGGGTGATCAAAATATGGTAGGGAAGACCATGGGGCTAGTCGGTAAGTAGGAAGCTTGTCCAGCAATTTTTTATTATACAGGGTTTCCCATTAAAAAAAGGAAAGGTCCCAATAAAAAAAGGAAAAGTTTCAATCATAAAAGGAAAAGGTCCGATCAAAAATGGAAAAGGTTAAATCAAAAAAGGAAAAGTGTCAATCAAAAAAGGAAAATTCCCAAAAAGAAAGGAAAAGTCCGATCAAAAAAGGAAAAGTGTCAAACAAAAAAGGAAAAGGTTCAATCAAAAAAGGAAAAGTGTCAAACAAAAAGGGAAAATATCCAATTAAAAAAGGAAAAGTGTCAATCGAAAAAGGAAAATTCCCAAAAGAAAAGGAAAAGTGTCTATCAAAAGAGGAAAATTCCCATTCAAAAAAGGAAAATCATAATTTTTTTTAATTTTTTTAAAAAAATATATAAATTTTTAATTTTTATTTATTCTTGTCATTCCTTCTTATTTTATTTATAACTTTTTGCGATTTCTTTACTTTATTTGTATCTTTTCTCATTTATTTTTCTAACTATATTATTTCTCAATTTTTTCTTCTTCTCATTTTTGATAATTCTTTTGTATTTTTAAAAATAATTTATAAATTTAGGTCCATTATTTTAACAATTCATTACGTTTTTTTTTCATCATACATATGACGTAATTTTTAAAGGGATCATAAATATCCGGGATCTTAACGGGATTTAAAGGGATCCCTCTAAAATTTCAATTTTTTAAAGGATAAAGATCTAATTATTACGTTTGAACCATGATATAGAAGAATCTTATTTTAAAAAGCGTTTTCCGCGCGTTTCGTTTATTAATTTTATTGTTATTCATTAATTTTCAATGTTGTTTTTTTTGGCCCTATGAAATAAGATATGTCTAATATAGGGTATCAATCGATAGCTAATCAAAAGATCTATTCAGGAATTCAATCTCTCCCCTATAATGGGCTGATCTAGGTCTTGGGAGGTCAGAAATTTTTTATCAATATAAAATATCGATATGGGTATCAAATAAAAGCTAATTTTAATATGGCTTGACTGAAAGTCTTCATTCTTGGTCTTGATGGGTATGACTTTGTCTGGGGTGTAGGGGTAAAGGGGGGGTGTGTAAAGAATAATTTTTTTTGATGATAAGGATATCAAATAAAAGCTAAATTTGATATCGTTTGACTGAAAGTCTTCATTCTTGGTCTTGATGGGTATGACTTGGTCTGGGGGGGGGGTAGGGGTAGAGGTGGGGTGTAAAATATAATATTTTTTTGATATGGGTATCAAATAAAAGCTAAATTTAATATGGTTTGACCGAAAGTCTTCATTCTTGGTCTTGATTGGTATGACTTGGTCTGGGGGGGGGTAGGGGTAGAGGGGGGTGTAAAAAATAATTTTTTTTGGATATTGGTATCAAATAAGAGCTAATAAAAATATTTTTTTTATTGTAATAATAATAATCACTCATAGAGGGCGGGTCTAGGTCTTGGGGGGTCAGGAATATTTTATCAAAACAAAATATCGATATGGTTATTAATTAAAATCTAATTTAAATATCTTTAGATTGAAATTATTATTTTTTGTTTTGTGGGTATGACTGTCAGGCCCTAAACATACAGGGTTTCCCATTCAAAAAAGGAAAAGTTTCAATCTTATAAGTTATAATTCCCGTTCATAAAGGAAAATCGTAATTTTTTATAATTCTTTTAAAATAATTATAAATTTTTCAATTTTTCTTAAATTTTATTTATTTTTGTCATTCCTTCTTATTTTATTTCTAACTTTTTGCGATTTCTTTACTTAATTTGTATCTTTTCTCAATCTATTTTTCTTACTATATCTTTTCCCAATTTTTTTTCTTCTCATTTTTGATAATTCTTCTAAGTATATTTAATTTTCACTTAATTTTTGGCAAACAACTTTTTTTATTATAATTTTTTACATATTAAATTATTTAATTACAATTACGATATATATTTAATATAGTACGAAACAAAAATTTATATTAATCATTAATAATTTCTCCCCTTCTACATTTTGGAATATATGTCTCCATATTTCTAAAATATTACTTGCTATTTTCTTTAGATATTTCCCTTTCTCCATGCTCTATATAACGAATTAATTCTTCCTCGTTACTAGGATCTTTATTTCTGACAAAATCCTTCCATTGAAAAAACACATTCTCAATAGGATTAAGATACGGACTTTAGGGTGGTAAATATTTCAATGTATGTCCTTTTCTTTCGATCGATTCCCTAATTGAATGGATGAAATGGAACATTGTCCATCACAAAATCATATATATCATGTTACCTACTTCAAAATGATTTAATATT